TCCGTGGGCATTGCATGACATGGGTGCACTTACCTACATGCAGACAATACACGCATATACATAAAATAAAAATAAAAATTTTTTAAAATCTCATAATGTTTTAAGTAAGTTTACAACTTTGCATTGGGCCTCATTCACAGCTCTACTGATGATATGGACAGTGGGCCATGGTGAGTCGTCAAGCCACTAAACCAAAGCAATAAGGCCATCTCAGGTCTGCCATGAGCAAAGTGCTGGGCAATGCTTCCAGAGCTCATGCCTCCTTCTCTGGGGAACCCGCCCACACAGAATACACATGGCTTCCAAGCAGTCTGGCTATGGGTTGAGTCTGGTCAGCGACCCAGCAGTGTCCTGTCTGTAGGCAGACCTAGAGAGCCAAAGCAACCCCAGCCCCTAGGCCCAGAAAATGCCATTCACCCCACCCCAGCCTGGCACCAGCCTGCCCCCAGGCTCAGACCCCTCACTCGGCACTGCCCCTGCACTGTCCTCAGCCTTGGATGCTGGGCTTTGGAGCTGTGATTGTTCTGGGTGTCCTGATGTGGATAAAAAGTGACATGTTAGGCTGGGTGATAGCTCAGTCAGTCAAGCACTTGTTTTACAATCATGAGGACCTAGGTTTGGTCCCTAGAACCCATGTTTTAAAAAAGCCAGATGTCGGGTTGGGTCTGGTGGTGCATACCTTTAATCCCAGCATTGGCACTCGAGAGGCAGAGACAGGTGGACCTCTGTGAGTTCAAGGCCAGCCTGGTCTACATAGTAGGTTCCAGGCCAGCTGGGGCTACTGGGAGATCCTGTCTCAAAAGGACCAAAATTAAAAAAAAAAAAAAAAAACTCCAGCTAAAAATGTTGAAGTAAGCTGGGCATGGTGGCACAAACTTTTAATCCCAGCACTTGAGAGGCAAAGGCAGGTGAGCTCTGTGAGACCAAGGGCCAGCCTGGTCTACATAGCAAGTTTCAGGTCAGCCACAGCTATGTAGTGAAACTATGTCTCAAAAAAATGGGAGGAAGGGCGGGGCTGGAGAGATGGCTCAGCAGTTAAGAGCACTGGCTGCTCTTGCAGAGAACCCGGGTTTGATTCCCAGCACCCAGGTGGCAGCCAGCAACCTTCCTTAACTCCAGTTCCAGGGAATCTGACGCCCTCTTCTAACTTTCACAGACATTGCACGACATGGATGTACTTGCATTAACGCAGGCAATACACATAAAATTAGAATAATTAATAAAAGTGAAAGAAAAAGAATTATAGAGTAGTGGTGAGCCCTGCTGAAGGTCTAGCACACACGACCTTGTGCAGGCCTTTCTTTCTTTTCCAGTGACCTGCCATTTTCCAGGAATCTCACCCACAATACTATTAACCTCTGTTCATAGTGAAAATATGTCTGAGCTCCCTTGTACAGCCTTGTGACTTAGGGTTTTTATTTTTATTTTATTTTATTTATTTATTTGTATGAGTGTTGCTTGCTTGTTAAGTGTGCCCATATCATGCAGTGCCCATGGAGGTCAGAAAAGGGCGTCAGATCTCTTGAAACTGGAGTTACAGACTGGTGTCAGCCAACATGCAGGTGCTGGGAATTGAACCTGATGGCTCTTAACCGCTGAGCCATCTCTCCAGTCCCAACTTAGGGTATTTACTGTAATCTTATCTAATATACCTCAGGAACCACTGCCCCATGAAATAAGGGAGGGAGGAAGAGAGGGAGGGAGGGAGCGAGGGAGGGTGGGAGGGAGACCCTTTAGAAACCTTTTGAGACGTAACTTCAGAAGACACAGAAATCACACACAGGCTACCATAAACACAGGTAAGCACAACTCTCTCCCACACATACACCCACACTTGGGGTATACTAGTGTACACTCTTTTTCCTAAGAGCTTCCCCCTCTCTTTATAATACCCATGCTTAAGACTGTGTTAAAACTTCTTCTAGGGTCTAGAGAGTGGTCTCAGAGGTTAAGAGCACTTGCTGCTCTTACAGAGGACCAAGGTACATTCCCAGCACCCACATGGTGGCTAGCAATCTTATATAACTCCAGCTCCAAGGGCTCTAATGCTCTCTCCTGGTCTCTTTCAGCACCTGCACTCACATGCATATACCCCACACACAGACATGCGTGCACACACACAACACACACACAATTAAAAATAAATGTTTAGGAAAAATTCTCTTAATAAACTCTGACTGTCCTTCATACTGATTTGTCTTGAAATTCTTCTCTGTAATGAAGTCAAGGATCTCTGCTTCACTAGAGCTGAGGTCTCCTAGAGGAACTTCTTGAGCTGCTGTGGATAACAGCATGGAGTCCCCCCTGCCACTGACGTAACCACTTCATGTTCTAACCACAATGACAAAGAAGAGTCTAGAAGTCATACTTTTCTAAGCCCACCTGGCTGGGACATACACAGTCTACCCAGTCACCTGCCCCACAATCAAGGCAAAGGGCTGTGGACAGCCACCAACTCAGCCTGGCTGGGGTAGTGCAGTGGAGCCCAGAGGTGCAGAGACCCAATCCGAACCGACTCAGTAGGCTGTTTGTCAGCTCCAAAAGGCCTCGGCCATAGGGTAGGTCTGGGTCATAGACTCAGCTCTGCCACTAACGCAATGCATGACTTAGTCACCCCACACCTCAGATTCCTCACACAGAAGATAGAAACAGTAATAACCTGCTTTGGGAGAGCTCTGGTATTACAGAAGATGCTGGGTAGAAACACACAAAAACCTTTAATATTCAAAAGAAAAAAAAAAAAAGTCACCTTCCCTGGTCCAGACTTTGCAAACTGGAAGCCCACAGACCAGGCCTACCCACACACATATTTTGTTTGGCAAAACTTTTTTTAAATTTGAATTTGTTGCCAGAAATAAAAATTTGAGAGATTCCCAATAAAACTTCATTTTCTCTGATTTCTAAAAATAACCAAAGTTAACATTTGGTGATCCTGGCTCACGCAGAAGAGAATATGCACCCCTCTTAGGATGATATGCCCACTTTCCTCATCAGTCCCTACCAGCTCACACTGAGTCTAATTCACTTCCTCTACGGTAATTCCCATTCAGAGTAGGCATTTGAGTTTCTGGCCTTTGCATGCACTAGCCCCTGGCCTGAGGGCTTCCAGTGAGGCTGCGGACATGGGTCACCCAAGTCCATCTACCTCCCATCTTCCCATTCGAATCCATCACAGCCTCACCCCTGGCAGAAAGTCCCAGGAACCCAGAGGTGAGTATGCTAGTTTGCCCACCTCTGTCCTTAGCAGGTCCAAGGCCAAGTCTGGTGAACACAGCCACCAGTGGTGCCACAGTAGAGCCCTGCACGGCAATGTTCAGGTGCCACAGGGGCAGGGGCTGCGTGGACAGAACAACAGACTACCCGCTATCGCCTGGAGCCCATTATGGGCAGCTGCCCTGGTGTCGCTGAGACCTCAGATCCCCACAGATCCACCCATTGCGTCCACTTCACGGCTGAGGAATGTGGGGCTGAGGCCAAGAAACCGGGCCCCACAGCACAGGTGCACAGGAGACATTACAGATATCTCTGGGGCAGTGACTTAGAGTCCATTAAGGTCACCAGGCCACGGAGTCAGCCTGGAAGCCTCATCAGCCCCTCCCCAAGCACAGCTGGCAGATGACAGGACAACCCAGCAGGGTGTGCAGGGTGGCCACCGCTGGCTGCCTTCATCTCTGATTCATGCTGGCTTCCACTTCGCATCACCCATCCATCCTACTCTGAGTGCTACCCAAGCTTGGGGGTGGGCAGAGCCACACTAATGGATTTATGTCATGTCTCTGACTGGGGGTACTACTTAAGTAAATCAGCAAATTACTCCAACTGTACAGTTCCATTTATTCTGCAGCACTGACTCCCGGAGGCTGGGTGTGCAGAAAGCTGTCAGCTCCCCTCAGGGCCTCCCATAGGCAAACCAGGAGAGCTGAGGATTCTTGCCTCTGGGGCACGTGGATGGGACACAAAGAACAAGCTCCCCCTGCCCGAGGCCAGGTGGCAGGGTGGGAGCTCCACCTTCCTGGGGTGGCAGGATCAATTATCATCTGGTCCCTCCACAGGATGGTGTGCCATGGAGA